CGCAAAATAGTGAAGGCCTTAAAAGTWAGTCATGTTACATAGCCAAAAAATTGCAACAACAACAGCGAAGAGAAAAGCAAAATTAGAAGAAAACACTGCTCCAAAGTCTTTAGCGTGCAGCGGAAGGCACAATGGAAACGCCCCGAGCAGTGCACATGAATTTTCGACTACTTAAAAGCACGGCTCCAAGCGTCTACATGGACTATAGCGCCTGCCACACCAACACACATGCACACAAACAGCTTAAATGCAGCGAGTGGATATTCATTGCAGAATTTGTTTGTGGTGCCATTTTGAGTTGGTTTTTTTTTTCTTGTTTTTCTCTCTGTATGAAGTGCGTTCAGCAAGGACATTTTAGAGGCGCTTAATAATGCACCGATGCACCAAAGCAGCGCTGCGAGCGTGATTGTGAGCAAGGATAAGTTGATATGCGTTCAAGACTGGGGAGAGTATGTGTGAGTTTGAGTTTGGCTGCGTGTATATGAGTTTGTTTGTTTGTATATGTGTGTGTTGGTGCAAGTTTACTGTCTGCAGGCGATGGCCACACTCATAATTAATGCTTACTGCACAAGCAGTGTGAAAAGCTCGCTTTAMGCTTGCAACACAAACAGGCATACAGTGAGAATTAGAGTGCGGACGAGCATCTAATTGTGGCGTACAGCACACACACACACACACATACACATGTCATATTTGCCAGTTCCGATTATGCAGCGGGGTCCGCAAGCGTACGAGGCTGCCTGCCCGTAAGGCCGTGTTTATGATTTCTAAGGCGCTGTCATCGCTTTGGAGAGGTCATTTTTCARTTGCGTGCAAAATTAAGTGGACGACCGCCGAACATTCCACCCACCGACCAAGCAATGCCAAAACGCACACATGACACATACTAACCCACACGTGCAGGTGTGTACGTGTGTGTGCGTTATGCAAATATCCTGAAACCATGTGCGCCTGTGTTGGGCAGCGCAATGCAAGCGCATAAAATTTCACTAACAAAACCGAAAATGACCGCGAGCAATGAACTTCTATGCTACACCCTCTCCGCCTGCCCGCCATTCTTAGCCACTGCACGCTATAGAGGCGGTTTTTTGTCTTTGCTGCCGCCGGCAGCTATTCGCACAGCGCAAACAACTTTTCTATTCATTGCCTTGACATATGCGCGCTGATTTATACCGATTTGGCTGCTCAAAGTACGTATGCTGCTATATCCAAGTACGTATGCATGTGTGTTTGAGTAAATATACGAGTGCATATGTATGTGTTTTTGTTATTGCAGTTACATACCTGCGGCTCAATGCTGCATTGAGAATGTTTTAAAGTTGCAGTTGGCAGGAACAAATTCGAAAATCTACAAAATCGCTGTTTTCTAATTAGGCTGCATGGCTTGAAAATGTTGCTTAGCAACGAACATATGTATTTGCATGGAGGCGAAGTCTGAACTTTTCAGTCAAATTAGTGAGTTACAGCCATTACTCTTTGCCATGACTTTTCTCTGACCGGAGCGAGAGGCGACTCTATTGGTAGTAACCATAATGACGAAGTGAATTTTCTTGCAATTAACATTGTATTCAGTCTATAACTATGGATATACTTACGTCCGGTTCTTATTTTTCAGCATTTCATCGTTTATTTAAGAAAACCAGTTTCTCATATACAAACYTTATCGATCACCATAGAAAGTTCTTTGTCTTCCAAGTAAAAAAAAGTACGTTCGGTAAACTAAGGCTGCTTACCATAAACTTGAACCAAATACGATGACCTTCAATTCAGAATTTCTTCTTCTATTAAAGCATAAAAATTTTTGCACTCAAATATTAGTCCATATAGGAGCTCATGATCTCTAGAATRAGATTAAAGAACATAAAAATCCAAGCTTTTAAACTAGTCATGACTTTCTTTGAACTATTTTATCAGTTATTCTGCTTATAATCATATACATTATTTCCAATTTCAGGTTGAATTAGAAAACTGGGTAAACAGTATTCACAGCGCCTGCGCTGCGGCATTTGCACGACACCGTGGCAAAACAGGCACTTTGCATTTGCTACAAGAAGAGATTTTCCGCTTGGAGAAAGCCATCGAATCGGTAAGTGAATAAAATTGATTTTATGTATATCAGTCAGACTAAGTCAAAAGAGAAATTGTTTTGTACATACATACATATTAAGAGCAACATACATATTAATAACTAACTAGAGTTCCATTATTCTAGTAAACTTTTTTTAATTTTTCAATGTTTTAAATGTGACATTAATTTCTCTCAAATATATGGGATAGTATCCACGTGACAATATTTTCTGCTACCACCTTCCCTTTCGTGTGTTGTTGAGGTTCTAGTCTCTTCATTTTCTATTGAGTTGATCTCGATTCTCTTCCTTCAAATTTGACGCTGTTTTTGTAAAAAATCCTTTTCTTAAGTAATTGCAGAATATTGTCGGCAACTATACCTAAAACTTACTGAACTCGTACATGGTATCTTGTGCATAACTAATTTCCCGCCTAGGTTTAGGTATGTTCGCGTGTTCATTTCCCGTTTCGGATAGCYTTTGTTAGCAAGAGGTGAGAACCAGAGCCATTTCTTACTCAAGTTATAAATATATATCRGAAAGTTAAGCGTAATTGCAGTCACTGCCGATTTGGAATGTTTAGCTTTGAATATATATWTTTTTTTTAATCTACTGCCGAAGAGAGTCTTAGATCTGMTTTCCTTCGGAGCATCGTTTTCTACAAATTTGCATTGCATTTAAAAATTTTAAAATCATTAAACTAGTACCGCTTGAACTGAAGTGCTTTTAATGCTGCAAATTTCTGCAAAATTATGGACCGACATMCATTCCGTTATACAGCTGACGCCTTGTCATAATCATCTTGCAGTTAAATGCATGAGAAACTCAAGCTTTGTAACGATATTCAGAAACTATTGTCAGTTGGCATCTGCGCATATACATATATATAAGAGTATACATATATTATACATACATTGGGGTGAGACAAAAGCAAATCTATATAATTTATATAATTTTTTAATTGAAATCACACTGAGCTCGACTTTTTACAATATTTTATGCTCAGCAAGATTCCACCATGAAGTAATTTTTTSTAGTTTTATCCATATCTTTATACACTAAACTGGGTGTGTGTGGAAGTGAACTAGTCTCTTAGTTTTGCAGATACCAACCTAAAATTTCGCACACGTAAATTTTTTTCAAAGAAGCTGCACATTTGTYGGAATCAACCATATTGGACAGCTTTAGCATATAGCTATCATACTRTATAAATTTTCCCATCCAACTCAAGTCCTTGTATGGAACCCYTTTTCATTTTTGTTGAAATATCTTCACAAAATTTGGTACATATTATCTTTGAAAGCGACGGTATAATCTCTGAATAAATTGTTCAGATCAGACCACTATAGCGTATAGCTRCCTTACAAACTGATCAACCAAAATCAAGTTCTGGTATGAAAAACTTYTTTATTCGAGAAGGTATAGTCACGAAATTTAGTATACATTATTATCTAAGATATTTCTATAATCTCYGAAGATGCTGTTCAAATCGGATCACTACAGCATACAGCTGACATACAAACAAATCATTTAAAATCAAAATAAAGATATTTTCATACACTTTTGTGCCATAAAAAATGGACTTGTGCAGGGTATTATTGCTACGGCGCAGCCGAACCTTTTTTGTTTTTTGTTTTTTTTTTTTGTTTGCTGTTTTTTCTATATAAAAGTTCATTTTAACGCATTAATTCATTGTTTTAGTTTTTGACCCACCTTAATGCAGATCTACACACACCCAAAAGTTGGCAAATTAAAAGGAAAGAATTAAAGTGAGCGCATAAAATAACGAGAAATCGCTAGAAAAGCGACGAAACATAAAACCAGCGAATGCGCTTGCAGTAATACAGTTATCTGACAAGCTGCAACGAATGTCCGAAGCACTTGCTGACAGCGTAGCTCGTTTGCGTAATAACATGCACAGCTGTGGCAGAATTTATGAGCGTAATTTGCTGTCCACAAGCGTTCATGAACTTGGTTTAATTAGCAGTTAGACGAAAAAACAGCATAGAGCCCGCTACAACAACAATAATGCTGTATTTTAAGTTGCTCTAGCTGCCTTGTTAGCGGCAAGYACTTACAAGCTAAGCATAACATTGTTTTTTACTGTTATTGGCACWATCCAATTGGTCACACAATTGCCATACATAACGCTGCTTATGGGTATGTGTGTGTGTATAAGTGCGTAAATTTGTTGCCAGTCATCATTTACATATTGTATTTGATTACCCAATGTGATTTGTGCCAYCGACTGCCCATTTGCCTTGCTCCCGCCTGCCATACACATTTCTCCAGTTGCGCCACAAAGTATGCTACAAATTATTCCCAAGCTTGGTTGGTGCACAAAATCGTATTTTAAAATTACTACAGGGATTTCTATTTATAGTTTTGTTTTGCTGTCATACGTACCGTTCCTGTTGTTGTTGTTGTATGTGTGTKTGCGTCATGCGTTTGCCCTCAGCGGATGACCGAAAGGCAACGTAAATTTTCTACCAAGAAAACAAATCACAAATTGCAATTACAAAGCTACACACACCCACGCACACAAACACACGAGCAAGCAAATTGGCACATAAATAAAGGTGCATACATATATATAAGGTCACTCATTTATACATACTCCTCAGCCTTCGGACACTAGYTTCGCTCTCTTCAACTCTGCTTTCCACTTGAGTTACTTTTGCCGAGTTGAGTTTCATGTGCCGTCATATGGTCACATGATAGAAATACAATAGACGTGTGTTTGTATGTGTGGCTGTGTGTGCTGTTATTGTCCTTCTGTCGTCGCAACATAACTGTCAATGTAAGATTTATATGTTTGTATGTGAAAAGCCATTGGTGCCGTCGAGTGACCCAATCAGTTGAGYTGCTCACATCACTCTGCCATCCACATGAATTTTTGCCATGCAAGATTTATCGACCATAAATGCAGTATGTATGAGTGAGTGTGAAAACTTAGAAACGCAGAGAATTTGATGACTAATCGGGAAGTAGTATCCGAGTATGTCATTTTGGCACTAGTGCTATATGACTCTCTTTTCCTTTGAATGTAATATTTATAACAATTACAGATTTCGAAGATAACGCTGGTAAAAAATTGCCACATATGTATGCCATTCCTTATCAGTTCATACCTCGCTGGTTGTACTCGGTATACATATATTGTATTTGTATTTGTATAGACATGACTTAGGTCCAACAACCATATATATTTCCCGACGCTCCTCATGGTGCTGATCTGAAGTCGCATCGTAGCCAATCCCGTCTAGATTGGAAATTGCTTGGCAGGGATGTAGCTGTGTTGATAAAAATGCAAAAATATATTACTCCGAAAGACTCYGAATTATTCTTAACAAGGTGTAGTTGTATTCGTAAATATATATGCGGCTACAATTTTGCCAAAATTTAAATATATGTTACTCCGAAAGACTCCTAATTATACTTTTGCGAATAGCTTTCGATAAAAAAGAAAATATGTGTGACTTCGAAAGGCTCCGAAATATTTTTTGCAAAATKCGGTTATGGTCGTACGCATACATGTGTATATGGAGCTAGTTATTTCCAATGCAAATATGTGTTCCTCCGACAGACTCCGAATTGTATTTTTCCAAAAGTGATTGCGGTCGCAAGTATATATGCGGCTATATGTTTGCAAAAAATGAAATATGTATGTTACTCCGAAAGACTCCGATTTATTTAAAAAAAATTSGATTGTGATTGTAAACATATGTGGGGCAAGTTTGTTGTAAAATTGCAAATAAATATTACTCCGAAAGACTCCGAAAAATATTTTTCATCGTGCCACTTATGTTCAGTGTTTTAATATTTTTTAGCAAAATTGCAATTAAAAGAAAAAACTTTATTTTTTTTTTATTTTTTACTTAGATCTTTTTAATAACTGACAGCAATAGTGTTACAATTCAATCAAGCGCTAAGCTATACATATAACTAACATTGAATCTTTGAACAGCGCAGCTAACGAGTGACAAACTTCGCAAACCACTAACCCGTGTCATACTAAAGAACAACTCTTTATTAGACCAAGCAGCTCCGGACACCAAAGCTACAAACTATGCATTCAAGCTAGCTGGTCGTATGTGGCATTTATGACTTTGTGCAATATTTATGCGCAAACCAGAAAAAAMCCCATTTGTTTTCAATTTTATGCTAAGCCCATCGCCAATTCAGCTCTTTGCCATCTCAATCAGCACTCTTTGGGGACATTGTTTTATTTCCTTCATTTCTTCTTTTATTTTTTTCGTTTCATTTGCATCGCTATTAGCATTTCTTTTTCATGCGAACTTTGTAAAGTTGATTTTCGTATTTTTTTACTTTTCCGATTTTTTTTGTTTTTTTTTTTTTTTTTTTTTTTTTTTTTTTTTTTTTTTTTTTTTTGTTTGCTGTTTTTTCTATATAAAAGTTCATTTTAACGCATTAATTCATTGTTTTAGTTTTTGACCCACCCTAATGCAGATCTACACATACCCAAAAGTTGGCAAATTAAAAGGAAAGAATTAAAGTGAGCGCATAAAATAACGAGAAATCGCTAGAAAAGCGACGAAACATAAAACCAGCGAANGTCTATTTCAATTTGGTCTCGGCGCCCTACTCTGCATTCATGGCAATACCGTGTGAAAATGCCGTCGGTGGTATGAAAAATTAAAACTTCCTGTGCATATGTGAATTGATTATTTAGTTGCTGCTGCCAGAAGCCAGCACCGGTGTGGTGTCACTTTTTCAACTTTCTCTTTGTTTTACTTTTCAAATTTGCATTTCGATGCTCATACATTTGTCAACTGTTACGATGATTTTAAATTTCATTTCTCAAATAAATTTAATGAGGGTGAGTTTAAATAAAATCCAATTACTGTTCGGTTGTATCTTKCACACATTTTACCGTAAATTGAATTATCGAAGAATTTTCTGAAAGAAAACTGGGAACGAAAAGTAACTAGAAAGATAATGGAAAAAAAGCAGGTTCTATTATTAATGAGGTAAATAGATAGAGTCTAATAAAGTCTTA